ATCTCCAGATGTCCTTTTGGCTGTCCTGTAGTCAAACTGACGTCTTTTACATTCATCAGTCCACCAAGGCGCTGTTTTTCCCCTTCCCACTGCGGGTGTTCGACCGACAACTTTGATCGCGTCTTAAAGTACTTTGATTAAGCTCTTTGTGAAGTCTTCAATCTCGGTTTGACTGCTGAGGGGGCCGTGCCTTACCCATTGCCTTACGCATCGAGCAAACTCGTCTAGGTCACCGCCCCTTACGCGGATTACTCTCGGGATCCCGGATAGCTGCGAGCATCCAGGTGTGTCAACCGAGCCTTCAATGGTGGAGTGGTCTGATGTACAGTCGAACCGTGCTGATACCAATGCAACTGCCGTCGTATTACTCCAGGTTAGATCCAGTGCGTTTCCATTGCAATGAGTACTTTTTCCTAAGGTGTTTAGTAGCTGCATGTTGTTTCTGCGGGCCCACCCCATGATGAGATCACCATTTCCGTATTGGCGTTCTGTTAATGGCTGCCAATACTGTAAGACTGAATTAAAGTCACCCCCTACTACTGAGGGTCCACTTGGCTGCCAGCTTAGTAATGGTTCCAAAGTCTCACTATGGCCTGGAGCACGGTAGACATTTACAAATGTCAGTCCACACACCTGCACAAAACAGTAGTCTGATGACTGGCTTGATGACGAGGGTGAGATCTGAGCTGCTTGGAGTCCTTTTCTCACAAAAGTGACAGCGCGTGGTCGTGGTCTCGGTGTCGTGTTTCCAAAGGGTATAAAACTATCGAAACTAGGATGGCTTTTCGTTCTAAACTCTCCATCTTCTTGCAAGGTCCATGGTTCTTGAACCATGACTATGTGCACTTCTGCATCCCAAGCTTGTTGCAGCGCTATGTCCATGTTTGGTCTACCCTTTCCCACGTTCACATGGTGAAATAGAAGGGTGCTATATTTTTGGTTGTGCTTATGAGAATTTGGTGTATCACTCATTATCAACCATTGTTTCTTCTGGTATATTAATGACCTTGCGGGCCTTACCTTTTTCTTGAGATCTTAATATAGCAGCCTTAAAATCCATTTGTCTGCGTTCTCAAAAAACTTGCAGCTCGGCCGGTGATCGGGGCGTTACTTGTCCATTGTATCGCCTTGGCCGGGCCATGCAGTCCAAGTGAGTAGACTCGTGCGGTCCAGCACAGTTTGAACATTTGGGGATGTTTGCCGAGCATTCGGCAGCTTCGTGCGAGCCAGAACACTTTACACAGCGCTGTCCTTTGACGCAGTTTCTTGTTGAATGGTAGCCCCAGCAGCGTTGGCATTGCTCGATGGGGCGTCTACAAGAGAATGGTATGGCAGGTCCACTCGCGTCGAATAGTCTAAACCTTAAGTTGGAAGGTGCTTGTTTTAAGTGCACAATCCAGCTAGTGGAGTACTGTCCAAACTTTGTATTGTTTGGGCGCACCTGTATTGGCATGACGCCGCAAGCTGCCTGGCATTCCATCTTCACCATTTCCCTGGTTACTTCAATTCTTCCGTCTAATGTACGGATGTAGATTGGGACATGCGGTACCATGACGGATGTCCAGTCTGACGCCGGTTTGATTGTGATTTCCTCTTTTTGGAGTGAAGGACCCACACCCAGAATTGATTCCCTGAGTGCATCTGATACGCACTCCATTGCTAGGCCAGACCTAACTTGTGTCATTGCTATGATTTCTGAGGGTGCAATCCCAGCTTTCTCTGTGACAATTTTCTTGATAGTGACTGGTGATAACTTGCGCCACTGATGCTCTCGTCCCATTCGAAGAAAAAGTCGTTTATCTTCTTTGGGGGGTTCTTTTTCTGCTGGTCGTGTCTGCACAACAGGCCTTCGTTTGACCAGGTTGGCTGACGGGTCTGGGAGCTTGGCCGCTTTTCGTGCCACTGTGACCCAGGGGGACTCAGCCACTTGAGGCTTTTTCGGCAGTTCATGAGGCAGTTTCTCGTTTATCTTTGTCACCCTTGGCACAGAGGTTTTCATCTGAGTGGCTTCGGGGAAAGGGTTCTGTCGGAATACTTCAAGTGGACGGGTTTCGTGACAAGCTTGTTGTAACAATATTGGTATCAATTCATTCCTGTCTCTAACTCCCTCCCTCCTATGGAACATCTAATAATTACATTGGGGAGCCAATTTCTTATTCTCGGCGCTATTCTATATAAGGAAATATTACGATAATAAGGCACGTGATATGATACAGAACTTTAATCAGACAGGTTCTTACATGAGTTGTATGTACTTGTAAATAAAAAGTAAAATCCCGGGTAGAGGGAAATTTGCTACATTTAAATTGGAAAGCAGAGTAGCGGACAGCAGGTCGGACTCTTTTGTAGTTTCTAGGTGCTGTAGGGCGCGCTAGAGCGTCGGGTAGTTCTGTAGGGACTGGGCCGTCCAGCACGTGACTAAGGTCACGAGCTGTAGACAGGCACGACGTTAAATTTAATCAAATCAAATCAAATCATGAGTTGTATGTGGCGTTGACGCTGCTTATTGCAAAAGCTGTCACAATAGGTGAAATCTTTTCAACAAAAGGCGCGATTAAGGCCACACCATCGGTTCCAGCCTTGGATTTCGCCCAGGCGTCGATATTCTGCAGGAATTCTTGAGCTAGGCTCATTCGCTGCTTTCTGTCGCGTTCTGATTGCTCCATTGCGGCGGCAATCCCAAGAAGGCTCGGGTGTAGGTCGTCGCCTGGGTCGATTGACGCCGAGGACGACGGCTGGTTGTACGCAGCCATGATGCTGCTTGATTTTCAGGGTTTGGACGGATGGATATAGAAATTATGCGTGTGGAATGGAAGGTAGATACTAGTAAAGATGCTACGCACTTTATTATGTGCTGAAAGATAGAAAGATGTACAGACAGAAGATGGTTGGTGAGATGAATTGGAATTGAGTAGAATTTATTTAATGTCCCTGCTGAGTTCATGACTATAAAGGACAGCTAAAACTATAAATATAGCTTTGAAGTTAATAGTAAACTTGGTTACAGATATGCTTGATATTTGCCAATAGACGATAAGGCCGTGGGATGAATTAAATTTAATTGACTATCAACTGGAAGAAGTTATACTAGATATTTTGGTCGATAAATCATCTGATAGAGAATTAACAATAGCTAGAAAGACGAACGAAAACTCATCACCACCAACATACGATTCACAAATGGATCTAGGTTTCTCAAGGGGTCGTATTTAGACAAGCTACATCCCTCAAACTCTTATATTTGCGATGAAGCATTTCCCAGTAGATCCAACGCTTGCGACTCACATCCATACTCATAGCACCACTTACCTACAAACAACCCAGTGAGAAAAGTCATGATGGAAGCGGGACGTCTACAAAGAAGGGTAAAAAGAGCAATGTACGCCGAGGGGATCACAGTTTCTCCAAGGACTACAGATCCCCAATGAGGACAGCAAACCAACGGTACAATGAGGGGATGCAAGACTAGAGTAACCCCGGGGTCTAGGACAACATATATATTTCGGAGTCAAGGAGGATCTCAAGGGCTCGGGCGCCCAGTAGACGAGGATGAGGATGAGGATGAGGAGTTTACGCTACGGCATGTATACAGCAGGTTTCAGGAAGGTCGGGCTTGGTGTCAATTTATACTTAGGTGAAGTATGACGTGATCCGGTCATTTATATGGGACTAAGTTTATTTTACTTATTTGTTAGTTAATCTGATCCAACCCGTTCCCAATCGTGCTCAAGCTCCCATAGAAGTGCAGAGTGTGCTGGTTGCCCAGCACGTCAGTTCTCAAGGCACTATATTATCGGTATTACGTAGGGTACCAGTAGGGTGTAAGTAGGGTATAGGTGTGGAGTATAGTGGTGATTCCTATGAGGAGGTGGCATAAAATCAGCGTAAGGTATAGGGTTCACGTAAGAGGTAAAGGTAAAATAAGTAATAGGTGAGGTTGGTACAATGACGGCGGTCTTCTTTAGAAAAGAGATAAGTGTATTAACAATAGGTATGAGTATAAACAGAAGACGTTTCGTAATGAAGAATACTCCTTCACGCTGGGTATATATGTACATCAGATAATAGGACAGCCCTAAGTTGTGTCTCGAACAGTATTACTACGCAATCCCTATGAAACGACCCTTTGTTCCCGAGTCTGTCCTAATTGTTTAGGAACTTAATCTAACACCGAGTTGTGTCTTGGCATGGAGCTCCCCATGAGACACCATCCTAGCTTCCACTACGTTTATCCATGAACTCAATCTACGAACTAAACCAAACCATTGTTTATGTCGGGATACACGATATCTATTCTACTATATTTGATAATACATAGTCCTGAACGACTGGTGAAAGCCAAGCGGAGATTGTATTCGTTGTGTAATGATGCCAATAGCTTGCTCCGCATGAAGTTATTTAATAGTAATGGGAATAGTGTGATGCCTAAGTCTTGAAAAGTAGTCGATTCATGTCCTGTACCTCTTCAAAAATTGCACAAGTCCCCTTCCCAATACTCCTATAAGCTTAGTAGTTGGTTGTGCTTCAATACAAAAATGCAATAACCATGTGTCATCACTAGGTAGCTAGATAACTGGATGTAACCTATATTAATTTGATGAAAATTGGATGGAGGATTATTTTAAAAATTAAATGTAACAGAATAATTGAACAGAGTTTGTTAAGTCGAGTCTACTTCTTATTTTTACTCTACAGATGATTCTGTGTTCAATGATGCTTTGTTGATTACGAATAAAACCCCGAATCACAGCAGTTTTTATTCTCCGAACATAAGCATTCAACTGCCGGAGTCAGAATACTCCATTCCCATTCAAAAAATTCAAGCTAGAGTTGTTTTGGCAGCTTAGAGATGAAATGCTTCAGTGCTAAAGCTGTTGAGGCATATATGGAGTCACAATCTCTAGTAAGTGTACTCGAACTTTAGTAATCAGCTTCAAACCCAATGCTGTCAGGTGATAACTGATAGAGGACTTTTAATAAATTATGAGTTTCTTCAAAAACTACCCAGCTTTCTGACTACCTTGATTTCTGCTGGATATTTTTTCTCTCAAATATCGACAAGTTTTTGTTAAGCCTGCGGTAACTGGACCCTTTAGACTTTGACTCGTACTGGGCCATCTAACAGTATTTTTGATCACACCCCTGACCTCCGAGCGTAAATCTTCGGGTATTTCCATAGCTATTCTCCTCTCGAACCCTCCACCTTCTCTCCTCTTAATTCGCGTAGGGTCCTCATCAGTTGAGGCTTTGAGCATTTCATTAAACACAAGCTGTGGTATCCGATACTTTTTTTGATATTGAAAGTAAAGTTTTGACCTAAATGCTTCAGGAAGTCTTCGAACCATGTTACCTCGTTTTATCGGGTCCATGTCTTGCACAAGCCTAAAATTAGCTGTCGGATCTGAGGAGTTGTATTCTTTGAAATTAACATTGGGTAGATTTTCGATAAGATGCGAGTATAGTTTGCGAAAGTTGGGAAGGTTATTTCCTACAATATTTGCCACTTTTGCTCTATTTTCTAGCGGTAAAGTCATTCGAGGGTCTCCCGTGTAACTTATACTGGCTATGGTTCCGTATAAGTCATTTTCTGTGAACTCGGAAGGCAGAAGTAGCAATGCTGTTCGTAGGGCAGATGTGAGATTAATATGGTTTGCTAATCTGACACGGGGATCATCTCGTAGAATTTTTACTGGCTTCTGTAGTCTCCCTGCGAGATATAATGTTGTCCACTGAGAGAGATCGGTACAAAGATTATCTAGGTTTACGACGCCATATTTGATGATCATTCCATTTATCAAAACGTATGGATTAAAATAAACGCCAGCTCCCCATTTTTCTTGAACCGCTGAAACTGCACCTGATCCCAATGATCCAAGTGCTGAATAGTGGTCTCTATGTTGCGCAAGATTTAGTGAGTGCCAGTGTTGAGTATGCGAGACACCAAATATAAAATCAATCATTTTTGGAGTACATCCTTGTGCTTTTAAAACTGCGGGTGGTGGATTCGGGTGGATAGACGTCGGTCTTACAATAGAATATGTCTAGATCCAATTAATATAAGTAGACGAGCTTCATTGGACAGTGTCATAGCTAGATAGGCTGCATACACTTAATGATTTAAAAAAAAAAAAAAAAAAGAGCTTCATTGGGACTAAATATGAGCTCGACCTACCTGCCTGGACTGTGGAAAGACGCCCGAGCCGTAGGCAAAAGCAAAGCGTATGGGAGCTCGGAAATGCCAAAGAGTGCGCCTTAGTGTTTCTTTGAGTTCTTTGTCAATAGAGCTGTCGTGATCATTTCCAAGCTTTGAGATTGTTGTTTCCGAGGGCTGTGATGTATTACTACTTTTATTATCTTCGTGGTTCGAGAGTCGCGCAGCAAATGAGCTCAGGCATCGCGTTTTCAGGAGTCCTGTTGAACTTAAATTTGTTGCATCATTTTTACTTAAATTTTTCTCTGCGCATTTAAATCCATCGATCATTGAAATATAGGAGGCTGATAGTGTTAGATAAGGGAGGGGCAGTCTGTTGGGATTTTTCCATGTCGAAATGTAGTGGAAATTCGGCTTGTACTTCTGCCAGCCAGACCATTAGCAATTGCAGGTAGAAACAAGAATGATGTTATTTGCTCCTTGCATACTGAGAGATAGTTTGATGCCAATATTGTGCGTGGCTTCATTTTGAAACAGTTTACCTATAGCCTCACCCAAAGGGCTACGAAAGCTGGATAAGCTGCATATAAACTAGCATTTGTTGAAAGCTATGGAGAAATTCCATAAATTGAGAATTCGGTAGACTGTAATGCGGATATTTGACGATAAAACCTCAGTTCCGCAACCACACACCTCCGTGGTAGCTGTCCCCACAGACACCTGTCTCCAGATCACATGACAAAAGAATCAACATACTCAATTCTATTTATCTGCATGCATCGTTCTGCATCCACCAGAGGATCCCAAGGCTCTATCGTATGCTGGTCACACGTCACTTCGACACTAAACACAACATCGGCCCCCATTTTGAATCGGATGAAGATTCAACGTTACTTCTTACCATGACCATGGATATAAAAAAACTCGAACAAAGTTATTTGAAATGGCAAAAAACTATAAAAAATTGTAGAGAGCCTTTGCAGTCCTTATCTATTTACCTAGAACAGCTTACATTAAATCCAATGTCACTCCTTGAGAACGCTATTAGTGCTCCTCGCAATTTCGGCGTTCATTTCCCCAAGAACCAAATTGAGGTCTTGAACAAGCCTAATTCGCTCAGATTTTTTAATTAGCATACAAAAATTAACGTAGTGCTCGCGCATAGTACTTTGGCAATTTAAATACCAGTTATCTCAGCCCTCATATAACTTCCAACTGTTGGCTCCTAGATGGAACCAAAGTAGCAAATAGCCGGCAAAGCCAAATTCTTCACCTTCCACTGGTACCGGTGTAATCGCTCAGTATAATCTGTATGTCTGGGATAGTCAAGTAGAATCACAATCAGAACGAGGTAAAAAGCAACCTTAACGTCAAACACATCTCCATTTTACGACTTCTCAGTTATGCCGATCTAATCATCTTCATCTAAGCCCTCAACCTCTCTCTAACTATACGTCATCTCTCCTCGAAGACAGATAAAGGCGTCACACCAGTTGTAAACAGGAGCTTGCCTCGTTCACTACCGGCCATCACCCACTACAAATATACGACGCTATTTATATCCGTAAGGCGTAAATTAAGTCTAAAAATACGAAGCCTGAGTCTTGGCTCTTGGGGGACTGTCGCATAGATGGGACAAACAACTTGAGGAAGAACAGCTGGCTGAGAGGTGGAGCGAGAGTGGGAACAGGTCTCTGGAGACCATGCTGGGACCGATATTTTCGAGTAGTTTTAATCTCTGAAACGTTTGTGGACACTAAAACCAAAATTTCGGCAAATTAGCCAGGAAGGCTTTTCTTGCAAGTGAGTCAACGTCACTCCTCAGAAGGCTGGACTACAAGAAAGAAATTGGGCTTAGCTACTACCGAGGTATAATTAGTAAGTAGATCTCCACATCGAATACTCTCCAGCATTCAGTCATGTCTTATTCCTAGGTATTAACGAATCAAGAACCATGTCAAACAAAGTCCTTATTTTATTTTTTCAAGAACTACAGTCAGACCCCTGTTAAGACGATATTTTTTACGGAACGGACTTCGTTCCCATACATTTACCGATTACACGATTATCGTTCTTCAACCTCTGAATATCGTCTTAACCAGTGTTTTTTTGCTAGCTTGGTGCTAACAATGTCGCCAAAAAAGGGAATTTCTGTGGAGCAACGACGTGCTCTGCGACGATGGGCGCACTGCCAGGTCCCAAAACCAACACATAAACAGTTTTTGAGTGGTTCCTAGCTGAGTACGGCCATCGATTAAGCCAGTCCACAGTCTCCGAGTCCTTGAGCAAGACCTTTGCGAAACTCAACGAAGCTCCAAGTACTACTGCGCTACCACAGCGAGCTGGAAACTGGCGTAACCTTGAGAGTATTAGAGCGATGAAGGACGGCAATTGGGAGTATAAAAAAGGCATTAAAAGTACAAAGTAGCCTAGATAGCTGGATTATATAATGATATCCTTTTAAAGCGATATCCTCAATAGGACGATATTTTTCACGGCCCCGATTACATCGTCTTAACAGGGGTTTGACTGTATACAGCAATCATACTCTATCAAGACCTTTCTGACATTTCAGCACGACCTTCGGGAAGGAGGCCAGAAAGGTAGAGTGGGAAATTTCTGAGATGCCCACAATTCTGCAGTGCCCAGCTGGCCGGCCTCTTCAAACGCTTCAGAAGGATCACTATGTCATCGAATCTAGTCCCAATGTCGGTGTTAGAAGAGCCCCGGACCCAGTGGTTTTTGCGATTTTTCCCGACTGCCTTTTATGGGCTAGGCCCGGCTGGGTTCTGGCTGGGCTGTTTAAGGCTATAGGGCCCATCCTTATCTTGAAGGCTCAAGCGAGTTTGTAAATCTTCTCACTATACGGGAGTATTATCAGATCACGTGTAAAGGGCAAGGGTATCTGGAACAGGCATTGTAGTTATGAAGAGCCATAGCTTCCCGCTCGTAATTTCCTCATAGAAAATATAAACATTTAATTGTGGCATTGCTTTCATGCATTGGCCGAAAGTCCTAGCCCGTCACACTGCCATACACCCGCAATTAGTCATCATTTCGTTGGCTGAAGTGAGGAGATGATGAAGGACATAGGGCCCCTCTAAGTGTATGATTGAATGAGAGCTTGTGAGGGCTGGTATTGTTTGAGGGGAGCTGTATGGGAGGCATAGGAGGGAATATACTGCTATATAGGTATCCTTGGTCTGTAGGTAGGGAGGACCTGCATATCACACATGATCATAGACTCAGACAGGATAACAAAATTAATTTAAAAAATAAGGAAGATGCTGCGTGTCACAGTTTGAGTATTGACGCTGGAGCAATCCGAAATACAAAAGCAGTTTAAACTCTCTCTGTGGCTGACCATCAAAGTAATACTTCAACTTTTTATACATTTAGTAAAAAACCCAGAATATTCGTCCTTGGCTGATTTCAGCTTATCGCAGGTCCAACTCAGAGTAAATTCCGGTCTTGGTACAAATTACTAGAATCTTTAATTACGACTGAAATTATCTAGAATGAAGCGTAGGCTACTGCTTAGGATAGATCAGGCTTGGGGTATGCATAAAAGTCCGGATATATTCTAGGCCATAGTTTCTCCTTTGGGGTATGATCCGGAAGCGTTATGGCGAGACTAACTTGTATCAGTGTTTAGGCGGAAAGTTCAAGGCGAAGTTTTGCCGGCAAAGACGAATTCTTCACCTTCCAGTGGTGCCGGTGTAATTGCTCAGTATGCTCTGCATACCTGGGATAGCCAAGAAGAATCGCATCCGAATCGAAGTGGAAAGCAAACACATGCATATCTCTATTAGACGACTTCTCAACCATGCAGCACACACCATTATCTTCTGAGTCCTCAACCCCGATCTAACCACATATCAACTCGCCTCGCCGACCGATAGAAGCGTCACCCTAACTGCAAACAGGAGCTTGCCTCATTCATTACCGGCCATCACTCTCTACATATTTACGACGCTATTTATACCCGCAAGGAGGAAATCAAGTCGAAAAATACAAAGTTGGGGTCTTGGTTTGTAGGGAGCTGCTGCTCTAATGGGGTTATACATGTTGGGGATGGACAGGCGGCTGAGGTGTGGAGCAAGAGGGGGTACAAGTCCCTGAAGGCCATGCTGGGACCGTTATTTTCGAGGAGTTTTCAACTTTGGACTTTTTGTGGGCTCCAAGACCTAGATTTCGGCTAATTAGCCAGGAGGGCTTCCTTTGTCGATGAGTCAACCCCACTCCCCAGCGCCCTGTGAGTCACAAAAGAAGTTGGGCTAAGCTACTACACAGCAATCACACTCTGTCATGACTTTTCTGAATTTTCAGCACGACCTTCGGGAAGGAGTTGGAAGGAGGCTATAAAGGCAGAGGGTGAATTTCCCGAGGTACCCACAAGTCTGCAGCGCCCAGCTGGCCGGCCTCTTTGAACGCATCAGAAGGATAACCATGTCTTCGGATTTGGTCCTAATGTCAGTATTAGGAGAGCTCCGCATCCAGTGGTTTTTGCGATTTTTCCTGGCTGCCATACACCCGCAAATGGCCATCGTTTTGTTGGCTGGAGAGGGGAAATGAAGGGCTAAGGGCTCCTCCAAGTGTATGATCGAATGAGGACTTGTTAGGGGTGGTACTGTTTGAGGGGAGCTGTATGGGAGGCATAGGAAGGGATACACTACTGGTAAAGGTATCCTTGGCCTGTAGGCAGAGAGGACCTGCATGTCCTACATAGTCTTAGACTCAGACAGGACAGTAAAATGAAATCAAATTCAAAAAACATCATTTTTGCCAGAAAGCTGCCCAGCGTTCCACGCTACCCGTATCACCAATTTGACATGGTGATAATTACTTTTATATCTTCATTACCATCCTTACATCTTATCGCTTTCCGTGCTCCAACATGGCGAGTGTGGGTGCTGGTGTGGGTAAATCCAGCGGTTTCGACGCGGCGCAAAATGCGACGATGGCCCCAACAAACAACAGCAGCGGAGCGCAGACAGCTCCAAATGATAGAAACCTTGAAATCCTGGCGAAACTACTGAAACAGGTTAGACTAATCGTAACGGGAGAGATGGATGAGGAGGACTTACCCTCAATGGAGGACGTGAACGAGGCCGTCAAGTCCTTCAACGCGCACAAAAGGGCCTGGACGGAAATGAGCCAGAAGAAGTCTCCTATCGAGGAGAGGATGATGGCGCTCGAGGAGGTTGTCAAAAAGAGCCTCGCGGATCCCGCTCGAAAAGCTGCACCGGCAGTGGTTTCGGGCGCGCCGACACCAAGGAGCTACGGTCGGTCGTGGCTCCGCAAATGACGAAAACAGCGGTTAGAATAAGAATCGATGGCGCACAAAACTTGCAGCCACAAGAGCTGCTCTCAAAGGCACAGCAACACATTCAAGGCGCATTTGCAATTCGACAGATGCGAAGCAACGACACCGAGGTGTTTGTCCAATCGGCGTCCCAGAGAGACGCGGCACTAAACATGCGACAACCAACGGAATTTAAAATCTTGCGGCAAGACTTTCCAGTCGAGATTTCCGGAGTCCCACTGTAAACAAGAGTTGAAGGTGGCAGAGATGCCAACAACTACGCTATCACCAGGGAGATTGAGACGGCGACGAAGGCACATATTCCAGGCCTGGTAATTAACAGAATACGATGGCTACATGATGGAAAGAAGCATCAGCGATCGAAGAAAAACGGTCGCAATCGAGGTTCAATTGTGGTCAGCCTTCCATCGGAGACAATGCAAACGGAGGTAGTTCGACAGGGCCTTGTTATTAACGCCATGCTCTTCACCGCGCAGGTGTGGTCACCACGGGCCCAACAAAAGCAGTGTTATAACTGCAGCCAGTGGGGACACACAAGTGTCGTGTGGAAAGGCAGCCAGGTGCGGTGAGTGCGCTGGCGCTCACTAAACTCGGAACTGTCCGAAGAAAAGGGTTTCTTGTGCAAATTGTGGCAAGGAACACCGTTCATAGCAAGAAGCAGCATGTCGGACTTACCAAGTCTACAAGGGAAGTGTGGAGAAGGCTCGGATGGAGCTGTTATCGAGGACGGCAGAAATATAGAATGAAAAACCTACCATGGCGCCAACACGAACAGTCGGAACGACCGACGACCAAGGATTCACTTTGGTCACCAGTAAAAAGGCTGAAGTACTCAAAAGAGGGCCGGGACGACCAGGTAAGGTAGTCGAAGCCCCAGCGGCACCAACCATCGCCTCGACAGCAGCAGCGCCATCGGGGCCAACTCTTCGAACACTTCGAAGACCAACGCCGAGTGAGGAGGTGCCTTCTCTTTTTAATTTCTCATAACTATGGTCTGATTGAAGGGGGAGTTAATGAATTCCGAGGAAAGTTTACATAATTGCGGTTGAAAGGAACGTCCTCAGCATAAAGCCGGGTCGGTTCAAAGTGGCAGGACATCGGGTTTTGTTTGTTGAAAGCTTTTTCCCTTACCAAAGCGGCTTACCGTCTTCATGGTTCTGTATATAGACATCGCATAGGACGTTTAACTAGAACAATGAATGAATGAATGAATAATAATAATTCAAGGCGAAGTTGTAAGGGAAAGATTCTCAAAAAAAATCCCAGACTGTCAGTTGGATTATCATCTAAGTAAATGTTGAAGCAACAAAGGCTTCAATATTTAGGTCGCACAAAGGACTTACCTGTCCAGAAGACAATACAGTCTGCCTGTAATAAAATCAAGCTGCCCAGAAAAGGGAGAGAAGATTTGCGAACAATTAACAGGGGGATAGATCTTGCCAACTGGACGGGAATGTGCAATGAACAACAAACCAAGAAGACACATTCAGAGATAGTGAAAGTTATGGCATACCAAGAGCTGGCGAAATCCTGAGCCAGATAGAAACAAACTCAGAAGCCTTGGCAGTCAGCAACTGTAGATTCCGAAACTTGGAGAGCAGCCACATTTTACCAAAGTAGAGAGTCTGGAAGGCAAAAACTGAGTTTTCAAGGCTCACCATTCTTCCTACACCGTAACCTCACAAGGGCCCAAAGCGGTTTGGCAATGCAAATATGAAGTGAGCATATGGGGCTTAACTCGTATTTACACAGAAGAAAAGTACCTAGAGTACTAAGTCCAGGTTGTCCATGCGGCTACCAATCACAGAAGCCCAAGCACATGATTATGTCCTGCCCCCGATGGTCAAATGGTAGAGCTGAGATCTGGAGACAAGCCAAAGATCGATCCTACGAAGCGATGATAAATAATCCTGGAGATATAAAAAGGATAACACAGTGGATCCTAAACCATGGTTTGATAGAGCAATCCCAGATGACAAAAGCGGTCGAAATACTGCTGAGGGAAAGGAAAAGGTCAAATAATGCTTGGGGCGGATAGAGATGATCTGGTTAGTTTACATGGATGGCACTATAGTGTAACTGCGCTTCCTGAAGAAATTATGTGAGAACTATAGGAAAAAAAAATAGAAAGGTGTGGGAGGTTTTCACCATAAAGGTTTCCTCCCGGGTAAATATTATAGACTGTAGACACCTGCATGGGCCCATAGGGCGCCAAATCAGGATAATGAACACAAATCAAATCTAAGTAAATGCGCCAGATTGGATCGAGCCTGTTGAGGCTAAATCTTGTGCTAGCCTAGGTTGAATAATTTTAGAATCTTCAGTTATACTCAAGGATGCTGAAGCTGCCACAAAGTAGCTCTCCAGCTTCCCAATCTTTCAATCTTACAGTCTTTAATCTCGAATTCTAGAAATTATATAAGATTTTGATCTTATATTCTTACAATTCGATATTCTCAGTTTTTCACTACTCGTTAGATCCTTCGTACGTCAGTTGATCTCTAATTATAAGACTTCTTCCCTTGCTCCGTATCTCGAATCCTTGACTAGCCCTTCGAATATCCTTCGCCTCTCCAGTCTTTGAACATCCGACAAATCTCTGGCTTAATTATCTCCAAGCATCCCTCGTTAGTATTTATTATCTTTAGTTATTACTACACTACCTTCGGCAGACGGTGATCACCAGTATTCTTAGCGCACGCCTTAATCGATGGTCTAAGATTTAAAGTGTGAGAGGTATTATGGTGTAAAGCTTTAATCACATGAAACGCTAAAGCGATCAGGTGACGTACGATGTATGATATGTTCAGGAGCTACCGTTGAAGTTTAGTTGATCCATTGTGGTACATGCGCGTAGACGAAAGGTATTTGAATTTATTCAATATAACAATGCGATAATAATAATAGCATATAATCCATGTAATCCCATGTTCTAACCCTTTTGGTGTGAGTCTATTCTCAACACCTGTCAGCGGTGTCCCCTACGAACCTCCAGCACTCAATTTTTTTTAAAATCATTAAGTGTATGCAGCCTAACTAGCTATGACACTATCCAGCTCTCATTATAGAGTCTGCAGAGTCGAGATTGAGTAACAAAGCCCTGACTTCGATGAGGATTCCCATTCGCTTTCGCGGTCTGTATCGTCTTCATCTCCCAACACGTTCCCCGATCACCATTATCGTGAAGCTAACCACGATCAGATCAGATGGTAGGGTTGGAGTCCTACTCATCACCAACCCTTGATCATGGAGGAGATGCCACCCGATGAGTTTCCGGAGCGTACCCAGCACCCGATACGGAGATGGCGGATTGGATCAAGTCGACCTCAACTGTTACAAACAAGTGAGATATAGATGAATATGCGCACCTCATGTGGCCCCGGTGTCTAGGCCTCGCCTGGCTGGGACTGCAGGTTTTTTTGAGACTTTTTCCCGCGCACGCAGTTTCCATTGCTAAAGGTTCCGTGGAAAAGGTGGCTGACTTACACGAGTAAACACTGAGCTGAATGGCTATTCGTCACGGGCAATATATCAATGATCTTTCAAGTAATATAAGAAGATAGGGGCACCGTACAAGGTGTAGCCTGGGTTAGAGAGGAGCTCAATGTCCTAGATAGCCTGTGACTCTAGTAGTAGATTAAACATGCAACTCTTTCAGAATCGATTTCATTAGGGAGTCTCAAATCATAATCTTGTAGACCAGTTTCCACAAAACGAGTTGAGCTGAATTCGGCGCTAGGAGATAATCTTATTCTCATGCTCACATAGAACACCTTTAGAATTTGTTCAGTATCTGTCTGCTGCGGATCTTAAAGTGCACTTTTCGCGTTCACAAGTACTATTTTACCTAGCATTATCAGATGATTGATATGTTTTCATTAACGTGATACAATATTATTATTCAGCCATATAGATTGTATAGATTGATAGCTACAGATCTCAAGCTTAGTACGTTCATGTATGTAAATAAAACAATCTAGTCTTGCGCAGTCATGATTGACTTTAAAAGTTAATTTCAATTAGTCATTAAACAAAAAAATATTTCATTGGTGGCTATCTTGTGGAGAGTGGTTTCTATTTAGCTCTCTACTCTGCTGAACCACTTACATCTCCAAAAACTAGATTATGCACGTTTAAACTTGGATCGTCTATGCATCAGTTCAGATCTATCGTTGCCAGTGATTATTAAACTTGAGATACATGAATTTAAACGATATTAGCTTCCTAGAGTTACATTATTCGGATAGGAGCTATCGAATGGTTACCTTTTACAAGATATGGTATTTTTGCTTCTTTAAATTAAGTTGCTTGCGCCCGTAGAAAGTCTGTAGTCGTTGATTTGACAGTAGCCCCGAACTCCGTTGGTAAATTACGAGTGAGAACGCCATCCAGTCTAAGTTTTAAGCCAGTATCAGATATATGGTAAAGAGGAATCTTTTAGAGTTGCATTGCCATTTAAAGCTTATCCTTAGCCTAATCTTGGATTTGCGTTAGGAAGACTCTCTAAATCTTCATATATGAGAGTGAATTCCCTCTAATATTTTGTAAGTAAAAACGATTTTTGGTAGGGATTTTTTACGCACGCGCTCTCTTTGCCAGTTTTTGATATCGAAAAAGATATAGTAGCCTCTTTCCGTACCATTTCCGATGGTCTGAGGAACCATCATTTCATCTTTAGTTAGCCAAAGCTGTAATTTCTTGTGATAGCGCCAGTTGCGATTGTGTCTAGTGCAAAGGTCATAAGATAGAGCTGAATCATTCGGGAGGGCATAACCAACAGTTCCTGAGCAGCCATGACCTGCTGAAGGTCCCCTGGGTTGCTGTAGAACATAAACAATAGGGCTTCGTCATTGAAATTGGTCATTTTTGTTTCCAATTGTGCTACATTTGTGACTGTGTAACAATCAGGTAGCTTGTATGGTGGCATTGCGAGACGGGGTGGTTCGTTTTCCCATAGAGAGTATACTTGATTTGAAATATTTCTGTTTTGAAGTCAACAACTGAAGCTGGAATACTATTCAGGACAAGGACCAATCATACTCAGAAGAGCTGAGGTCGAGCCGTAGACTTGTCAGGTCCGAGCCAGTTACAAGTGCTGCATATGCCGGATAGTTATTCATCATCATTGAAAATCCCTTCAAACCCCATTTGTCAATTTCACTCATGCCTGCCATTACGTCGTGAACTTCTCGACCGTCACCAGTCTCTTCCGAATTACACTGACCATTAGAATCTAAATTTTGTGATCTTTGGCTCGTAGAAGGATCTGGAAAAGTATCGGTAGTTAGAGAAGTTACTTCCTGGTCGCCAAGCTTTGCATTCGAGAGGGCCTGAGCATCCTGTTTTCAGCACTAAGCCACATGTATTAAATCTACTCAAGAAGCTTACACTCGGTTCACACTCAGGGACGGTGTTTAATCCGGTACGATTGGAATCAGTGGGCGATCTGGAATTCCAAACACCTGTTGCATGCCTTTAGTTTGATTTGAGAATATATTGGACCTGGCTCACTGGAGGGGTTTACAGAAGAAGCCAAACGATCTACAGATATGCTTCCAGAGGAATTTCGTGCACTATTTGATATAGCGCTTAGGAGACCGCAACTCGGTGTAGATGTGGGATTTGTAGAATTAAAGCTCAGCCCATTCGAGGGTGCAGAGAAGCCAGAATTTTGTATCAGACCATATCCACGGCCTTGACCAATTTCCCCGTTAATGTTCCGGTTTAAGGGTGGAAATTCATCTACGCCATTGGACTGGGAATTTTGGATGGCTGTATTCGGATTACCAAATCTAAATACACCTTGACTGCTTGGAATTTGGGCTGAATTAAAGAGATCTTCCTGTTGCTGCTGTGAAGGTATTTGGGCACCCAGATGTTGTTGTGTAGATATAGATGATTGCTGTGTTAGCCGCATATTTGTTGAAGGGCCGATATTACGAGCTCCAGCCGCTGTTGATGTAGATTGACTTTGATGGGGTTGATTTTCGGACAGAGATGGAAATTCTCTAGAAAATTTGTCAGCTTTTTTCCTTCCTTGTTAATATCTTGGGAGGATCGCAGGGAACGAGTCTGATGTCCGCTGATAGAGTCCGGTCAAAGCTACTTCATCCGCAGTCTGCCCTATGTTCCCAGACTAGGAGCCAGGTGATCAAATCCATGCTGCGCTAGGAAATAGTGGACGAAGTGCTTACGATAAATCTAATGGCGTTGACGGTTGAGAGGAAGCTCCGATAGTTTGCGCAAAACTACTCATTGGACCTGGACGTGGGACACCGATACCGGTGTTTCCCATTGGTACCCCTCCGAATGCCCAGTTAGCTCCAGAGTTGGCTATGGAATTGGCTATAGAATTGCATTTAAGGTTAGTAGTTGAAGTAGACTTCCTTCGGGAGAACTATATTTCATTACCTGTCTTTGATGTAGGAGGCATCCGGCTTAAAACGCTTCTAGTCTGTGATATTGTTGGTTGACTTGGAAAGGCATTGGGTAATGTACGTAGGGATTGAGGTCCAACTACTAAATAAAATAGTCAGCAGGGCTTTTGCAATTGCTGAACTTGCGGACTGCAAAAACAGGAGCGAAGTTAAGGGAGAGCTAGATGTGCGATGGATACCGTGACGCCTTGGTTGACCTACGAGTGCAACGCAGATTTTCGCTCTTCGTTAGTCTCAGCGGTATAGGGTTGCAGTCGTGCAGTTGCAGGCCTACTATTCATCTAATGAATCAACAAATCAACTTGGGATCTAGATGTCGCGGGCTATCTCTCAGGCCTGCTTGCAATTCCAGCGTATTATTTTTAAAAACAGCGACCACTGACAAGCTTGTTCTGCCTCGCTCAATATACATCGTTGGATCGGATCTACTCAACGATAGAAGAATATTGAAATTCATACCTGGTCTGTTCATATTTGGATGTTTTGAGATAATTTTTCTAGCTATCGAAACGGTTGGCGTCTCAGGTATACAAGATAGATTCTTGGTATCTGCCGAGAAACTTCGAATCCAAACAACTTGAGGTCTCTCTTTAGATTATGTTACAAATTGTAAGAATGTACTTATGTATTGAATCATAATTCGCCTCCAGTACGATGCTGGCCGGTAGTTAGCGCGCACTTGCCACGAGCTATGCATTGCAAGATCCACAGTGTGCTCAATAGTATTCAATTTACTAACCGGAAACATAACTACGAGAGCTAACATCTTCTTTTCTTGAGCTCTATGAACATCTGGTGTTTCCCTACGATATTAATTTCTTGACAGTATCTGCCTCTTAGCCTTAAAGTACTTTTGAGGATTGACAGGCAAGGTCAGCCTGCAGACCAATGACCTCTAAAATTTTTCGAGCGTTTTCTGATTAGACCCATGCTAATACAACTCGAATGGTTGATATCTCTCGCAGGACAAGACTGGACACCTGTACCTGGCGTCCTTTACGGATCTGAGAGTGAAATATTTTCCCACAGCCAAGTTCAGTCAGATTTCGCAACACCAAGGAGTTGGCCCACGAGGTAACGATTCAAAAAACTCTACCACATCAAAATTTCACTCCTAACTATGCCTCACAAAGTCTAAAAATACGACCTAGCACATCCTCATTTTCATGATCATACTTCTTAGCGACTATTCTTAGGCCTCAGCCGGCCACTACCTACACGCCCACGACAATACAAATTCCTGAAGGAAGACACAATTCGTGGCACACAAAATTGGGAGAAATCTCTTTAGAGTGGACGTGAGCAATCGGGAAAATTTTACAAGATGATGCAAAGGAAGGATACAATCTCTACAGGTACGATACTTAGAATTTTGGCCAGGATTATCATTGGTTGAAAATTATTGTGCGCGCCAACATCTCGATTACAAGAGTGCAACTGACACTATAAGGACAAGCTAACGATGAAAGATCCTGTGATCCGTCTCCTGACGGTATTCTCTGGTAAAGGTTGAGTAGCCTGGGCACCTTCTCTACTTGGTAAGGAGAAACTTCGAATCACGTTGCGCGCGAAGAAAAGTTAAAAGATTATGGAGGCCTGTCTGTATAACTTGCGGTTTTCAAGATGTTTCCATAGGTGGGCATTTACTTACAAGGGTTGACGTGGGGTGAAGAAAGAGCCGCCATAACCTCGCAATCGTACTTGTAAATGAAATTCGAGGCATGAGTGCTCTATTTGAAATTGAGTCATCTGTTCTGTAATTTTCTCTGATATTGTGTTATAGCTGTGTAGCTGCATACGCAATTAAAATCTGATGCAAAAAAACAAAGATTGAGGTCTCTCTACAATTACTAGTTTTCTCCGGAGTCGCCCTTGGCCACATTTAAATATCCCTTGATCGTAATTGCCTTAACATGGTCACCCAAAGTTATTCTTTCTAGAATAAGACTGATTGAATCCAGGAGTACCCTAGGCATATCGAATAGATATCAAACAATTAGTTACCTGCAGACCTCCTAATTCCAGTAGGCTTTATGATTAACCATTTGCTATACGCATCATTGGCTATCTAAGAATGAATCAGGCGTAGCCATTAACATCTCTTTTGAAATGGAAGAAATAAGAATACGGTACGGAGAAAATCTGTTGGAAGTGGAGAATAGAATTTATGTCCCTACTGAGCCTATGACTATGAATGATAGCAAAAACTACCTAAATAGCTCTAAAGTTGATATTAAATTTGGATATTGATATGCTTAATGATTGCATATAGATGATGAGAGTCATGCCCTATTTGGAAATGGAGACAGAGTGTTATCGACGTACGGGCCCTCCATTTCGTCTAGTTTCTCTACATAATCTTGTGTGTAGTCAAGAGGTTAGAAAATGTGATATGGTGGTGTTTCAGGCTACCTAATGGTTACAAGAGCGGCTGTGTGGCGTGGGCACAAGGAGGTTATTGGGGGTTATCTATGCCTAGATGGCGCCACATACTTTTTTTTTTGCAGCAGATTTTAATTGCGTACGCAGCCACCTAGCAATGACACAATATCAGAGAAGTGTATAATATACCGCATATATTGTTACAGATAAGACAACAGGCAGAAAAAGGATTACCTGTAGAAACACACCCTCAAATATCCACCTGAACCTTAGTAGGGCCCAAAGCAGTATTGCAGTTCAGATGAGAAGTGAGCACATTGATCTCAATTCTCATCTGTATCGAAGGAAAGTCCCAGAGTAATTAATCCAAAATGCCAGTATGGATATCCGTCTCAAAATGTCTGTTACGGTTTGATCGTTATTTAAGCTTAGGAGGAAACCTAAGCGTTTAATTAAGAAGAATTACGATAAGACTGAAAGAGGAAAGATTGACAAACATAGATGAGATGGCACTACTAGCCAGGAGGTCGAAGCAACATTACAGTGTAATGGCTCCTGATAATACTTGGCTCGGTAGCAGGTATGAGGCCTAGGGGAAAGTTATCAATCAGCAAATTCACGAAGCGGACCAAACGTTGTAAGCACCTGTTAGCAGCAGCTAGAGATTTCTTTTCTCTTCGTATAGTTTAATAAATCGATTTATTCATTACCAACTCGGTTTCTGTCACAATGTCAAACATATGGTCTTGGCGTGTCCTCAGTGGGCAATGGGAAGAGGAGAGGTGCTTCGAAAGGCAAAAGACAGGACATTTGCGGCAATGATGAACAGCCCAGATGATGTAGAGAGAATCACAAAATGGATCCTGGCAAAAGGCTGGTTTGAACAATTCCGGCTTGCAGGAGAAGTAGAAATAGCGTTAGACGAAAAGATGAGACGATGTGGACAAGGATAAGACGGAATTCACACTGTGTAAACAGTATAAACGCACTTCCTGTAGGAAACCTCAGAAAACCAATAGACACAAGACAGACAGTTTTAGGGGGCTTTTACCGAATTTGGTTTCCTCCTGTGTAAATACCGTAGCTAGATATACTTACATGGGCTCATAGTGTACCCGAACGGGCTAAATGAAATAAAATTAAAAGTGTATAATATATGACTCAATTTGAAAGAAGAGCAATCATGCCTCGTATTTCGTTTGCAAGTACCACTGCGAGGTTCTGATAATGTGATAAAGCTATATAGCTGAATACACTATGAATAAAAAAATCATTCATGTTTTGGCTTTAGCTCTGTGTCGTTTACAATTGTACTTACAGCGCAAACCTCCCACTGTCTTAGCAGCAATCTGAACATGACACTCTTTCAGTCAAATTTTTCTTTCGCTCCAGAAATATCGCAACCATCTCATTGCTCGTTATTTCCAACATGTATGGATCCTGATAATATTAAAGTATTTGTCACCTGGAACGCGCCTGCCACAGTTATCAGACAAGGATCAGAACATAATGACGTCTGAAATACCTGAGTTCTATTTCTTGTTCTATTTTAAATTTTATGGAATCACGAGAAGAGGAAGTGGCAGGAAGGCAGCTCTAATGTAGAGATGAAAGAAGTAGAATGGCTATGAGGAGAGAGTATCTAGAGGCGGAGGGTTGGATGGTGAAGTGGTACACCATCCGGGCCGTTCTCCCAAGTAGATACTGGGTAGCTTGAAAACCTACCCCATTCAAGACAGGAGAAAGCTGGTTCGAATCCAGTCAGATCCACACACTACTCTCTCTCGCGGTGATATCGTACTTGTGGGATGATGTTGATAAATTGGGACTAAGAAGTTTATCTCAGAGTGAAGAAATGTGTTTGATTGATTTTTATGAAGTATTCCATCTCTCTTTAAATACAAGTCCATCCGTCCTTCATCCGATCACCCACGTACAGACAATATAATCTCCCCATACTATTGTGCAAGCTTAATGTGTCAAATAGTCCTAAGTATGAAGTAATAACACGATTAGTTCCAATGTCGCAAACAGCAACTGTCAGGAGTGACTAATACTAGTACAAGTTTACGAGTCGTAGATAACACGAATATAGATAGTTACAGGAATACGACTCGTACATGATTACATGAGTACAAACAGTTACAGGATATTTTCATAGATAACGTCAGGTAAAACGTCTAGAGCTCAGTATGTCTCACGTGAGATCTTGGCGCACTTAGCCCGCAGGGTTATATGTACTTTCTTGTCGGTTTCACATCGCTTTGGATGCAGGTCATGGTTAGGTTGACAGATGATGAAAGCACACTCGGATAGCCACAGGTTTTTCACGCTTTTCCCTGTGGTGGGTATGCACGGAAGAGGTTATACGCCGTAAGGGTTAATCTCGAGTGGTATCTGCAAATGAAATCTGAGTGTGAGTGTTCTAAATGTCAAATTGAGTCATCCTACTTAAAGTACATATCTTCCGATAAAAACCGGCATGGGCCTCAAGGCGCCAAATCAGGATAATGAATAATTATTATTATATATATATATATAATTCATTTTACCTGATTTGGCACCTTGAGGCCCATGCAGGTTTTTATCGGAAGATATGTACTTTAAGTAGGAT